CGAACTCCTGAGCTCAAACAATCCGCCCGCCTCGGCCTCCCAGAGAGCTAGGATTACAGGCGTGAGCCACCACGCCCAGCCTCCCTATGTTCTTAAATGCAAAATATTTCATTGTAAAATTAGAAAGCTTTTAAGCTTCCACTAAATGTGTGAAACACATATTAGTAGCATATTTGTAACATTACACAACTGTTCTCTGTAATTGTCATGGAATAGCTATGGTAGTTTAGAACAGCTTTTGGAATCCTGTCTGGGTAGCCTCTGAATTCCACAGACGAGCTGTCCGTCTTCTCTGGGCCCTGGTCTTCTGTTGTTTGGAAGGAAATCAGACCACGTGATCCAGAAGGGTCACTTTCAGCCCCATATTCCTGTGACTGCTTCGTTCTTAGCAGTCACGTGAGACTGATGTCAATCTGTGGGACTCATGTCATCTGGCTAGAGTCTGGAGCTTAAATTCAGGACATCATGCGTCTGCGCTTGGAGTCAGACACCAGTAGATGTCGCTCACTTCCTCTTTGGTGGCTAAGTCTCGGCCAAACTCTCCCATGTGATATATTAAGATTAGTCTGGCTTTCAGAGAAAATAACCCATCATTATCAAGTTATATGTGTTATAATCAGTCTAAAAAGCATAAGTATTAATAAATACAAGTCCGACTTGGAACATTTACTGAAACATTACAATGAACAGCGGGGCTTCAGGACCGAATAGTCCTAGGTCCCCCATAAACCTGGCATGTGGCTGTGAACATGCCATTTAACCTTCAGTTAAATGCAGCTTCATTTCCTAATCTGTAAACAGTCACTCTGTTAGGAGGATTAGGTCATCTATATAAAGTGCCCAGTAAATGTCAGTTAGACCCCCTTCTTACCCCCGGTGGAAATAGGAGCTGTAGCCCTTAAATACTCAAGGTAACCCCTCCCTGAAAATATATCAGGGAGGAGTTATTCACTTCTGCTGTCCCTAAAAGTCCTTTATTTCTGCCTTAGCCACAAAAGCACGAACCTGTGATTATTACTCAAGCCGAGTGCACGAGGTGAATAAAGGCAGAATACAGCCTCTTCCCCACAACCCAAGCTGCCCAGGCCACCTCCTCCCTGATGGCCGACTAATTCCCAGATCTCCTGGACTCACCTGTCTTTGCCCTGCTCCACATCTAAGCCCAGCCGAAGCCCAAACCCACGATTAGGAAGGTGGCAACTTTGCCCACATCTTTGTGCCCAAGATTTTTTTACCCATTAAAAGAGAATTCCAGCCCCTGTGATGTTACCTCTCTCAGCTTTCCCCTCCACCCGACTCCACCCCCAGGCTGTAGCGAGTATCTGTTTTTTTCCTTTCTGTAATAGGGAAGCTAATTCTACCAATACAACCGAGTAGATCTGGGAATAAGTAACAGCATTTTGAGCAGTAAACATGCCAGGTTGTGTGGGCAGTGGTGGCCTAACAAGGTTTTGGCCAAGAGACCGCAGTGAGGATGCGCAGGTATGCTGCTTTGTGGCAGTGTTCCCTGTGTCTCACGTAGAGTGTAATCACTGTTTTGTCTTCACCTGATTCAGACAATCTCAGAGTTCGAAAAGGAAATAGAGCTACTTCAGGCGCAGAAGATAGACGTGGAAAAACACGTGCAGTCACAAAAACGGGAGATGAGAGGTAACAAAAGTATGAGCCACTTGGTCCATGGGGTGCAGACTGAATGTATCACAGATGTGTCACCGCTAAGGAAACACGCTCTTTGGGAGGAGTTTGGTTGGACATGCGGTAAATTGGTTAGTTGGTAGGTTAGATAGCTAGTCGGTGGAGTGGCTGGAAGGTTGCTTAGCTGACTGGTTGGACTCTGTGAAGCTAGAAAACTGGGCCCTAGAGAGGGAATGGGAGAAGAGAAATCACACACAAATGCAATTTATACAACGCTGCCTTTTCCTTTCAGAAAAGATGTCAGAGATCACCAGACAACTTCTTGAAAGCTATGATATTGAAGATGTAAGAAGCAGGTAATCATTTTTGCATTACCAAACATTGAAAAATGTGTAAAACATGGGAGCGATGATAGATTCTCTTATCTCCTTATTTTCTAGGCTCTCTACGGAAGACTTAGAACATTTAAATGAGGACGGAGAACTTTGGTTTGCTTACGAAGGACTAAAGAAAGCAACACGGTTGGAAATTTCCCTTGGGGTTCTTTTGTATTCTTCAGAGATAATAGTCTATTGGAAAGTCAAAAGTCTGTCTTACATAGGTTCAATACACAAAGCAAGTCCCTTACAGTAGATGATCAAATAGCCACTAGATATATTTCTTGAGAATTAAGTAATTAGTTTAGTAATGAAGAGCAATCTCTTAATGGGATAAACTGCCTGGTTACAAAGCCCATAACTTGTATAGTAAAAACTGATTACATCAAATAAGTTAGCCAATGTTGCTATAGATATAAAGAAATATTTAAATTTAAGGGGTTTGCTGCGTTTCTTTAAATTAGTAAACTTTACTTTTTACAGCAGTATTAGGTCACAGCAAAATTGAGCAGAAAATACAGAGAGTCCCCATATACCCCAATCACCAGACGCACACAGCCGGCCCCGCCATCCTGCACCACGGTGGTACGCTTGCTACGATCGCTGAACCCACATTGGCACGTCATTAACATCCAAAGCCCAGAGTCTACATTAGGATTCACTCTTGGTGTACGTTCTATGGATTTTGATAAATGTATAATGACACGTACCCACATGGTAGCCTCAGGCAGAACATATTTTTAAACTGTTACTATGAAGAGAATAAAAATGTAATTTTAATTACTTCTAGAATAAAATGTCTTTATTATTAACTGCATGTTGACCCTACATAATGCTGCCTAAGCAGCTAGAAGGATTTTATAATTACACATCCCTAATTCTATAGCCGTAACTATGTGTGCACATGAGTAAACTTTATGTGCTTCTCGTGGGGCTCTCATTGTGGGTCTTCCTCACCACACACGTGCTCATCCTCACAGTCACCAGCACAGCAGAGAAAAGACCGTGTCATTTATTTCTTGCCCCCTCCTGTAACAGTGTTTTGGAGAGCCATTTCCAGTCTCAGAAGGATTGCTATGAAAAGGAGATTGAAGCTCTGAACTTCAAAGTGGTGCATCTAAGTCAAGAAATCAACCACCTGCAGAAACTATTTAGAGAAGAGAATGACATCAATGAAAGTATCCGCCATGAAGTTGCCAGGCTGACCTCAGAGAACATGGTATGGTCTCGGCCATGGGCCCTGCTCGTGGCCATTATTCTAGAGACTTCTTTCTTCGGTGGAGTAAAATGCAGTTTCTTGACAGTAGAACAATGGAAATAAATTACTTTTTCCAGGAATGAAATAGCTGTGTCAGAAGATGAAACTATAAAATGACCCCAGGCTGGAGGGCACTTTGATTTGAGAATGTCTTTGTGTACCATGGTATGGGCCCAGATTCTGTGACTCTGTGTGTGTGTGTGAGTGTGTGTGCGTATGTGTGTGTGTGTGAGCGTGTGTGTGTTTTGAATCTATATATTTAAATCTAGCCCTGATGCCTTGGAAAGTGACCAGAAATTAAGGTAGAAGGGTGGCTCTTGAGACGGTAGTGTGTTCAGAAGGTCAGTCCTACTCCTGCGCTGAAACTTGCCTTTTCAAGAACTTGCTCTTCCGTAATGCCCATTCTTACACACTGCATTTGTGCCATCCTTTCTTCCCACTCGTGCCTACTGGCAAGGAGAAGTGCTTCAAGAATCTTCTCTCTCAAAAACCACCCCTTTCTTGACTCCACACCTCTGTGGCCATCACCCGTTTCCTTGGGGAGTTGGCCTGACTTATGGAAGACTGTCTGGATACTTCCTGCACTCCTCTGCCTTCTACCCCTCAGCCACGCCATCATCTCAGGCCCCACCATGGGCTCGGTCTGCCTGTGTGGAGCCAGCCCAGAGGGCTCCTTACACCCTCATCCACCTCAGGGTCTCAGCAGCCTCTGAGGAGGCCAAATCACTTCCTCTCCCTCCTCGTGCTCCTGGCTTCCAGGACCCCAGGCTCTCTCGGTGTGTCATCCCTCTCAGCTGCTCCTTAGCTTCTCTGCTGTGTCCTCTGCCTAACCTGGGAGCATCAGGAAGTCTCGGGAGACCTGAGGTGGACACATGGAACAGTAGCTGAGGACCTTCACATCTTTGCTTAATCCTTTAATGAAACTTTAATGAGGAATTTGCAGTGAGACCCAATTGCACAAACAGGTACAGGTGCTCCTCGACTTAACGATGGGGTACGTCCCAATAAACCCATCATAAGTTGAATATTCATTAAATACACCTGAACTCCTGAACATCCTAGCTTAGCCTAGCCTACCTTAAACATGCTCAGAACACTCATCAGCCTACAGTCGGGCAAAGTCACCTAACACAAACCCTATTTTATAATAAAATGTTGGCTATCTCATGTAACGTATTGAATACTGTACAATCTTTCTTGAAACTGTATAGGTCTTTTTTTTTTTTTTTTTGAGACAGAGTCTCACTGTGTTGCCCGGGCTAGAGTGCTGTGGCGTCATCTTAGCTCACAGCAACCTCAAACTCCTGGGCTCAAGCGATCCTTCCTGCCTCAGCCTCCCGAGTAGCTGGGACTACAGGCATGCGCCACCATGCCCAGCTAATTTTCTTTCTATATATTTTTAGTTGTCCAATTAATTTCTTTCTAATTTTAGTAGAGACGGGGTCTCGCTCTTGCTCAGGCTGGTCTTGAACTCCTGAGCTCAAACAATCCACCCGCCTCGGCCTCCCAGAGAGCTAGGATTACAGGCGTGAGCCACCGCGCCCGGCCGAAACTGTATAGATCTTGAGGTTAAAAAAAGCACAATGCCAATCTAGTCCAATGTCTTGGCTAGCCCTCTTGCCTAACTATATGTTCGTGGATGAAAGTACTGTGTACTCTAATATTTCTAATTCCTCTCTAAAGATGATCCCAGACTTTAAACAGCAAATTTCAGAACTGGAGAAGCAGAAGCAAGAGCTGGAAATCCGCCTAAATGAACAAAGTGAGAAAATGAAAGGTAACTGAAACCCTCGTGGACCTGCTTTAGAAAACAGTTTCCTGTATCCAGGAAGTGACCCAGAGGAATCGTTGTACCCGAGAGTTTTAAACTGTGATTCTCCCCAGGGCTAGGCAGGTAACATAATGTGCAAAGCAGGCTGATTGAAGGGTACATGAGGCACGTGGGGGATTGAAAGGGGACAGCTGTCTCCACGCTCTGTTGATTGTTGCCAAGTGGAAATGTGGGCCCCAGTGTTGCTAGATATTCCTATTTTTTAAAGAAAATCCAAAAATCCAAATTTTTATGTGAACTATCACATTTTAAAATAATGGTTTAAAAATGTTTTAAACATTGTTCAGACCAAACAAAATCTAATCTCTTAGAATAAAGTTTAGGACCTCTGATAACTGAAGACAATACCAAACCCAAATCAGAGTGCAGCACTATGGCCCCCAAAGTACTGACACTTCTTCTCATTATAGGAAAACTAGAAGAATTGTCTAACCAGTTAAGTCGTAATCGAGAAGAGGAAGGAACACAAAGAAAGTAAGTGTCAACCTGTGCGTTGCTCAGGTTTGTGTTCCTATAGTGCTTTTCTTTTCTGAAACACTTAAATATACCAAGATATGTTGTCAAGCCAAAAAGGCAAGATGCTAACTAATGTGTGTGATGCAACTGTTCAAATGGGAAGAAAAATATATGTGTGTACACACACACACACACACACACACACACACACACACATGATCGTCATCATCTCTGGGAGATTGTAAAAGGGACGAAACATCGGCTGCCTCTAGGGAAGGTACCTTGGTGAGTGACGCACAGAGCAGGGAGCGAGAGGTACTTTTCACTGTACATACACACTTCTGTACTCTTGCAACATTATACCATATGCATGAATTATCTGTTCAAATATGGACAAATCAAGGTTGTGTGAGAGAGAAACAGGGTTTCTGTTAGCGGGCTATTGAGGGTAAGAATTAAAACCTATGCTGATAGAAAATCTTCATTGCTAATCCCCGCAAATTTCCTTCCTGACCAACAAAGGGCCTGGTGCCCTAGTGGAACCTTATGAGAAAAAGGTTCTGTGTTGCTGCCAACTTGTTGAGACACTTAATTTTCCAGAACAATAAATGGACACCCTACATCCCCAAGAGCATTTTTAGTCATGTGGCTTTATCAGTAGGATCAGGACAAAATGAGGACCCAAAGTAGTAGAAAGTGGTGAGACACCATTTCTGAACTCTTTTGGTGGGCTCTTTTTTCTCTTCTCTCTGATCTTTGGCTATTTGAGTGTCTGGTCCCCAGGCTGGTCACAAAGGAGATAATCTCTGAGCGTTGGTCCTAGGGTGTGGGTGGCTGTGGGTGTCTCTCGGGAGCAGTGAAGGGGGAGGGGTGGGCTGGGGGCGGGACTCTCTTACTGGGTGAAGGAGGCTGGAGCAGTCCAGGGACAATTTTACATCCCAGCCAGTCCTGGTCCCTTTTCTTCCACCTTCAAGGATCCCCTATTCAGGTGCTATTTGCTTTACACATAAATTGGCCAAAGTGTTTTTCCATCTTTGGAAACACCAACACTTGCTATGACAATGAGCGACTTCTCCATGATGGTCAAACTGATGCCAAAAGCTCCTCTATCCTTTTCTCAGGGCCATGGAAGCCCAAGATGAAATACACACCAGAGAGAAAGAGAAGCTGATCGATAAGATTCAGGAAATGCAGGAGGCCAGTGAGCACCTGAAGAAACAATTTGAAACTGAAAATGAGGTGAAGAGCAACTTCCGGCAAGAAGCGTCTCGTCTCGCTTTGGAAAACAGGGTGAGACATTTTCTGAAGTGTTGATAAATGGCTGGCTGGCTGTAGATGTGGCTGAAAGGGGGCACATGCCACCTAAAATGTAGGGTTGGTAGCTATAGACCAGAAATCCTTCCATGAGAGCAGATTTTCTCATCTCGAAGGACAGGCAGTTCTGAGCTCACAGCCCACTGCGGGGAGGCGAGGTGCGGGCTGGGGTTCCCAAGCATGTACGTGGACGGCACCGTCTGGGGTGAAGCCACCCTGATCTAGAGCACTGATGATGACAAGGCCGATGTGTGAGCTCTTTGCCAAGCAAAACTCACCCCACGTAAAGGCCCGTGCTCCGTTCTGGGGGTATGGCCTTCCTACAGTTTTTAGAGTCAAAATGTTCTTTCCTGAAATGGTCATGATAGTAGACAGAAGACATTTTAAAGTTTTTAAAGTCATCTCCAAATTTTAAATGCCCTTGTCAAAGTGACATTTGGCAACCCTGAGAAGCAATGAAGTGACGGACAGGGTGCTTTCCTGGGAGTTGGACCCTCTTGGGCCACTTCCAGGCCTCACAGCCTCCCAGACAGTGACCTGAGAGGGCTGATGCGGGCAGTGGTCGGCCTGGACGTGCCCACGTGCCCTTCTTCCCACTGTCAGGGCCCTGCGTTTCCTGTCTCACAGGAAAACCATGATCGGGTAAAACTATTTTGCATTGTTAGAATTGAACTTTGAAGAGTAAGTTACATCCAAAAAGAAGAATCCTGGGAGTTTAACATTTAATAGGAAATAACAAATTCTAACCAGTGCCACCTAGGTGATGGCCATCTTTTTTGAGGCAGGTACAGCTTTCTCAGAGACTAGAACTCTCAAATCACACCAAATAAATGACCACCCTCTGTCCGTGTGTGAGGCCACCTTGCCTTGCCCTTGCCTTGCCCTTGCATGTCCCTGGGATCCAGTGGCGCCAGCAGTGGGGGAGGAGCTATATGGGTGGGCAATGTGTGACCCTTTGCTCTCTAGCTGTGAGTGTGTGTCGACCCCTGTGCATTGTGAGGGATTTGTGTGAGTTTGTTCCTGATGGCCCTGGGCACACAGTGGGGACCCCTTCAGCACCCTTCTCTGGTGCTCCCCCATGTGTCTGGCTCCACTCCCAGGCAGGTGCACTGAACTGGGGAATGGGCACATCCATGTGTTCATTTCAACACAATATTCCTGAATCAATGAGTAGCCTCGGTGTCACAAACGAACAGATGCTAGCAGGGCCACACTCCTCCAGAGTCTCAAGGGGAGAATCCTTCCTCACCTCTTCCAGCTTCAGGGGGGCTCATGGCATTCCTTGGTTTGTGGCAGCGTAATTCCCATCTCTGCTCTCTTCACATGACCTTCTCTCTGTGTGCTCTGTTATAAGGACACTTACATCAGATTTAGGGCCCACCCTAATCTACTATGATTTCGTATCCACACTTAGCTTAATTACAACTGCAAAGACCCTGTTCCACAGAAGGCCACATTTTGGGGTTCTGATTGGACATGAATTTTGAGGGGACATGGACACTGTTCAACCCACTGTGTGATCTTTTGAGCCAAAGAATATTCTTATTAAAAAAAAAGATTTTAGTGATCATCTCAGTATTTATCAAAGAAATTCAAAATTAAAGCTAGATAGTATTTAATATTTTTGCCTGTCAAATTTATAGAGATCTTATGGTGCCAGAGAGAACATCTTGAAACAGGCACTGTCATACATGGTTGCTGGGACTATAAATTGGTGTAAACTTTTTTGAGGGGTGATTTGGAGGCAAATATCATGAACCTGTGGAAAGTTCATTCCCTTTGACTCAATAATACAGCTTGTAAGGTTCTGTCCTAAGTAAATACTCAGATATGCGGACCAAGAATTTTGTTCAGAGTGCTCATCATGGGGGGGAAAAACAAAGGAAACAAACAGGTGTCTAACAATAGGGAGCAGGTTAAATTGTTGTATACTGTATGACTTAACCGTTAACATGATGGTTTGGGTATATTATCAACAACATGGGAACATATCTGTAATATAATTAGAGAAAATATAAGATTTTAAACTTTGCATGCAGTTATGATCCCAATTTTATAAAATGTACATGTGCCATATTAGAAAAAAGGAAAGGGGCCGGGCGCAGTGGCTCACGCCTGTAATCCTAGCACTCTGGGAGGCCGAGGCGGGTGGATCGCTCAAGGTCAGAGAGTTCAAGACCAGCCTGAGCAAGAGCGAGAACCTGTCTCTACTAAAAATAGAAAGAAATGATCTGGACAACTAAAAATA